TTATTCGGCAGCCATTTATAATAGCAATAAATCAATCTTATGATTGGCCATTTGCGTGTCCAATCAGGACTCGTAACACCGGTCGCGCTTCTCTGATAATCTAGGACTCTAGATGCACCTAGGCGAAGTTTCTGAACGCAGCTCAGTCTATCTATACTATTGTCTATGGATTCGTTATGCTTTTCCTCTCCATGCGGCATGCCGTTCCATACTTTACTCGCAGCACGAGATATTATCCAGTATAATCATGGAAAATAAGAATAAAGTACAATATCTTATTGTTGATACAAGCGCTTTCATAAAAAATGCTTCTGTACAGGTAATTATTAAGAAATATATAAAAAGTATATAGAAATATTAATTTTAATTGTTAAAGTTTTGTGTTTACAATGTCATCAAAAGGTTTGCAAATAAAATAATTTCAATTTTAAAATATTTTATGGAAATAATATAACGTATAAATATATTCCAGCCTTTATGTTTCCAATAGAGTTTTAATTGAAAAACTTTGTAGGACATTGGGGTTAACATTTTGACTGAGCAAGCTGTCATTGACGAAATCACGAACAAGAGACAGTTGAGAAGATTGGTTGTACTACCGTATGACTTAAAAATTCAGGAAGCTTTTACTGAAAACATTAAATTTGGTAAATAGAATAGTAAATAGATCTCTTTAGCATCTTTGTTGCTGCCAAACATATACAGGATACATGAATGAACACATTGCACGTTAATCAATCATTTTCTGTTTCTCACACACGCGCGCACACACACACACACACACACACACACACACACACACACAAAAATTCTCTTTTTAAAATGAAAACATTTTATCACTAGTGTGGAAAACAAACGTCATACATATCATCTTAGAACATATATTACTGGAAGGAGAATTGCCTATACCGTCCATGCATCGAGCTGAAACCAACATCTGTACGAGAGAGAAAGATATAGATTCCCAATTGTCTGTAATGCGCATGTACCATTCAGCCCCACTTAGGCCCATTTTTCATTTTTTTTTGAAAAGATTTTCGACAAATAAAAAATTAGGCAAAACAGGCTGAGTGGGAGCTGAATGGCACATGCGCATTACAGACAATTGGGAATCTATACCTTTCTCTGTCGCACAGATGTTGGCTTCATGTTCAGCATTCTATTCTCCTTCCAGTAATATATGTTCTAAGCATATCATACATGTACACACATACATATATTGCTTATTTGCTACAAAACATAACTCAAAAATTGTTGTTTTTAAGTTGATTGTAGGAAAATATAAACAAGAAAGAGGAACAAACATTTATATATATTCTTTTATTTGTATAATATTCAATTTTTATTTAACATATATATATTAATAACATATATATATATATATATATATATACACAGGGTGTCCCCGTATAAGTGGCCACCCCTTTTTATCTCTTAAACTAACAGAGATAGACCTAATAAATATAATATCAAATTAAACGGCTCTGACTAAACTTTATTGTAAGCACAGTGTTTACTTAAAAATATTTTCTATGTTAGAGAACGAAAAGACATGATTAATTTTTGCACAGTAAGGTGACAATTTTAATATGATAAAAGTTGTAGAGTTCTTTTTAACGAATACAACGATGTATAATATAACGAAATTGTCTTATGAATTATAAGAGTTATTTTGGTTAAAAATTTTGCGGGCAGCTACTACCTTTTCAATTTCGGCCCTGCCAACTTCCGACTCTCGCACTAACGAAAGTACTGTGATCAAGATAAAACATTACACGTCAATTGTCAACGCGAAAATCAGAAGTTGGCCACATTGCTCTTCCGAAATTGAAAAGGTAGTAGCTGCCTGCAAAATTTTAAACTAAAATAACTCTTATAATTCGTAAAATAATTTCGTTATATCATACATCGTTGTATTTGTTAAAAAGAACGCTACAACTTTTATTATATTAAAATTGTCATGTTACCATGCAAAAATTAATCATATCTTTTCGCTCTCTAACAGATAATATTTCTAAGTGATCACTGCATGCTTACAATAAGGTTTAGTCAGAGCCGTTTAATTTGATATTATATTTATTAGGCCTATCTCTGTTAGTTTACAAGATAAAAAGGGATGGCCACTAATACAGGGCCACTCTGTATATATATGAATTACTATAATATATACTTTTATTTTTCTACAATCAGTATTATACTAAAATTGCATTTTAAGATTAATAATCCAAAATTTTAGTTAAATTCAAAACATTTAAACTGATTATCTGGAAATATTTTTTTAGCTCTATTGTTGCAAATGTATTACATGTTTCAATATATTTATATTACTAATGTTAATATTTTTTTATACATTTACAGTGACTGAATTTGCAAAAAAAAGTGGCGACTATACCAGTCTGTCTGCTACTGATATCAAGATAATTGCACTCACATATCAGTTGGAAAAAGAAAAAGTTGGGACAACACATTTGAAAGACATTCCAACAACAAGAGTCATTAAATCTACACTAAACAAAGGAAGCGGGGATGACCCTAAACTACCACTTGGATTCTACATGCCAAAGAAAAAAGTAAGAAGTTAATTATTTCTATATAATAATCGCGATTCACATGGAAGACAAGCCCTTTGGCAAACTGTAATAACATAGTGATTACAATCATTCAAACGTCACGATCCTTCAGTCATAAAGAAATTGACTATGATACATGTATACTGTATTAATCTGAATGCTTATTTTGTATTTAGGAGAGAAAAGAATTGGATGAAGATAACAAAAATTTAGAGGTATCTTTGAATAATATAGAAAAAGTAGACGTTACTAAAGAAAATATCGCAAACGTACATATTATAGATGACTCAGCAATAGATAATACAATAAATGATACAGAGATAAATGATGTGAAGAAACAATCTACTCTTTACGTATCTGCATCTTCAGATGAAGCACAGTCAGATTACGAAACAGCATCGGATAACGAAGATGATAAAACGAATGATTTAGCTGATAAATTTTCCAAATTAAAGTGCAATCCGACTGATTTAGAAATTGAAGGCGAGAGTGAAGGCAAATATGTTGTAGATGACATTCTTGCTTTTGTTGATACAACGTCCAAAAGTGATGAATCCTTTGAGGATGAAGATGATGAAGATGACGACAGTGGTTGGATTACACCAGGTAAATTAACTTAATCAAATTTTTTATCAGAATTAATGCACAAGTATATACAATTAAAATATGCATGTATAAGGTGAATCTGATAAAAAAATTCATCACGTTTTTCTTCGAAACGGTTAGTATTGGAGGGAAAACACTTATTATCAAAATTATGGAATAAGTAAGGAGAAATACTACTTTGACTGTTTTAAGTAACATTAGATACCCTTGATTTCCACACTACAAATTAATGAATCAATTGATATAAAGAAAGTACACAATGCTTTTTGAAGAAAACATAATTGTATATTGCAAATTATACAATTTCTTTAAAAACTAACTAGGTATCTTTCCAACACATTAATTCATCTTATTATTCTGTGCTTTAAAATATTAAGGTACAATTATCAAAAAATTAATAATTTACGAAATATTTTATTTTATATAATAGCCAGAATCAAGTATAAAATATTTTGTAAATTATTAATTTAATAAATCTAATATTTTTGTATATAAAATATATATGAAATAATACGAAAGTAATCATGCTATCTAAAAAAAATCATACAATTCTATTTTAAAAAATTGTAATGCTTCTTATGTAATTTCGATTAATGGATTTTTTCGAAAATTGATTTTATCATTTTTGTTTTCCTTCAAATTACATAACTTTTGTCTGAAGCATGTTACGAAATTTTATTTTTATATTTTTATTTTTTTTATTTAAGATACCCTATATATGTATATACTCATAATATATAAATATAAATTTTAATTAATTTATCTTTTGAAAGCAAACGTTTCCAACATAAAGAAGCAAATGGATTCGGAGGTTCTTGAAGAAAAAGCTGCAACCGTCGCGTGCTTAACGATGGATTTTGCAATGCAAAATGTACTTATGCAAATGGGATTGAATGTAGTATCATTAGATGGCAGAGTGATTAAACAGATGCGAACATTCGTATTCAGATGTTATGCCTGTTTCAAGACCACTAGTGTTATGACAAAGATCTTTTGCCCGCATTGCGGTAACAGGACGCTGAAGAAAGTGGAAGTCACGTTAGACGAGAATGGAAAGCAGCAGATTCACATTAATTTTCGGAGACCACTCTCAGCCAGAGGAAAAAGAGTACGCTATACTAGTTTTTAAATATAAATCTACAAGCTATATGAATGCGAAAGATGGCAAAAGTAAAAACTAATAAAATCTTTCAGTTCTCGTTACCAACGCCGAAAGGTGGAAAACACGCCAACAATCCCGTTTTATGCGAGGATCAACCAATGCCGGATCAACGTCCATCACGTTTGGCGCGCGTGAAGAATAATCCGCTCGATGACGATTACATAGCTGGGTATTCTCCGTTCGTTATGCGTGATATAAATTCGAAGTCAGCTATGCTGGGTATAAGACCGGATGGTGTCGTCAAGCACTGGATGAAAAGAAACCCCAATGAATCCAAAAAGAGACGAAAATAAAAGCTATTTATTGTTAAATCAGTGTTTGTTATTTCGAGCATTCATGAATTTTTTTATCAATTTAAAGTTCTGTAAATTCTGTGGCTACATTTAAGAATACAAACCTACCTAATTACAACTTCGGCCATAAGTATAAACACCTTTAATTTATTTATTGAATTTTCTTGAAAAGTGATAAAAATGTTTCTTAGATTAGATTAGAATTCTTCATATTAATTTCCAGAATTTTTATGTAACATTCAGAATTGTTAAAAATTTTTGTATAATTTTATAACTTAGAAAAAATTTTTCAGATTTTTTTTAATACAAATTTAAATATTTTAGAAATGTTGAGAAAGCCTACATCTTTTCTAAAATTCTTTATATATGTATGTTATCGCCAAAACCTATAATCGTTAAAACCCGATTTCACAAATTAAAATAAATAGTTTTAAATTTAATTGAAACAAAGTTTATAATTGTATTGTTTCATAGGTTTTTGAGTTTACGTCTAATTAATAATTATTCTAGTTTTAACTAGTGAATTTAGGTTTTAATTATGAGTTTTGACGGTAATATATAGGTATATGTAAATTCTGAAATATTCTGACTTTTAAGATTTCTCATTCTATAATTTATAAAGAAAACTTAAAAACTTGAAAAAGACTGAAATATTTTTTCAGAAATCTTTAAATTTTAAATATGACAAAATCTTTAAATATTATGAGATACGAGAATTTTTTTCCCAGAAAAAGTGATAGTGAAAGCCAAAGGAGAACTAATAAAATATTAAAATTGTAAAAATAAATATTTTTAATAAAACTTTTTAAATTTATTTTTCATTACATGGAACATTTGTCAATGATTATGACGGTGCTTTAATTATTATACTTATGTGGCCAGACATAATTATATCTTTTATAAGTTTTTATTATGATATAATAAAAAAATCTATTTATACTGATTATGAAACTTAATATATCTCGTTCGTACTTATATTAACTCGTTCGTATCACTAAAAAACTAAAAGTAAAAAAATGCCCCGGGTGAGGATCGAACTCACGACCTTAAGATTATGAGACTTACGCGCTGCCTACTGCGCTACCGAGGCTCTTGTGCTACTTTGTATAAGTCTAGTAATATTAGGTAAAGCAAAGATTAGGTTAACAATAAGTTAGGTTAGGTATACGCACAAGACTCAAAACGAGCATGTGTTTTTTCCGGTTTTTTTATCTCTTTTGCTATTTTGATGTTTTGTTGATTTAATTATTTAATGAATTTAATCTGTTTGAAGGGACGGATAGTTTAATCCATAAAACAGTTGCCTGTCAAACGAAAGATTCGATTCCCTATTTTGTCGTATTTTGTTAGGAATTTGCAAAGGAAAAATATTCCACTGTGACAGACTCGAATATCTAGAGAATTCAGAATATAAACAAATTCAAGGTAAGTGATCATTGTAATTCTGCCCTCCTTTAGAGGATAGAATTGCATATAATATAACAAACTTAAATATCATTTAATTTAATCATCGTACTTTTTCTAATTCTGAAAGCAAATATCCATAAAGAAGAAAAGAAAATCATGTTATGCCCAGAGACGTGGAACGTTGAACCGCCACCACATTACAGCACCACATTACACTTGGATATGACAACAAAGTTGAGAGAAGGAAATATACCCACATTGATAAAGAATCATTACTTTAATCATTCAGTAAGTTTACTGATAACTTCTTTCAAAACTCAGCAAATTTGCAAGATAATATGCCCAAATCCTATTTTCCAGAGTTAGATAGTAACTAGTTAATTTAAGAAGTTAATAGTTAAATAGTAAATTTTAACTTAACTTAGTTAATTTTAAACGAGTTAATTATTAACTTCAACTAGTTATTTTTAAATATATATAAACTTTAATTTATTAACTTTTTTTGAAGTTAAAAATTTACATATTTAAAAGAAAAAACATTTTCATATAAAGAAAATATTTTGTTATTTCATATAAACTTAATTTACAAATAAAATATTAAATTGATTTGATTTATATTATAATTTTTTTTATTTAGAGTAATTTTATTTTTAAAAGTAACATTTTAATTTAATATAAATAATGTTTTTCAAAATTAACTTTTAATTTAACTTTAATTATTTAATCTCAACGCAAATTTTAACTGAGTTAGTTTCTTATTCATGCAACTTTTAACTTAATTAAATTAATTCTGTAAGTTATTAATTTTAACTTAATTTAGCATTTAAAAAATATTAACTTACCCAACCCTGCTATTTTTTTGTTCCAGATATCCATGGTGTTTCCTGATACCATTACCATTCCATTGAGTTTACATAATTGTTTGTCGGAGGATACAGATTATTATCAAATAAATGGGCTGCGCGTCAGCGATCTTTTAAGAATAGAATTTATCGAGGCTTTTGTTAAAAAAGGTGAATTTATTATTGATTTTCTTTATATATGCCATGTATTTGTATGTCTCTCTGCGATTATATTATTTGTATATTAATAACTGTGAAAGAAGTATGTCACATGCTTGTTTAAAGAAAAAAAATCTTTTTTTTTTATAAGCTATTTTCCATCAAAATCAAAAACATGAGAAAAGTATAAACAAAAGTATGAGGAGAGTATTTTTACTCTTATACTTACAATTAGTGAAAATTTCTGTTTATCAATTGTACGTTTAAAAATTAATACAGCCTTGTCTATAAGTATAAATCCCCACAAATTAATGTAAACGTTTAACATTCTATATAAAACGAAAAATAAATTAAAAGTAATTTTATTGAAAAATAATATTTATTTTTATAACGATTTAAATATTTTATTAGTCCTCTTTTGCTCTTATTACTACCTTTTCTAAGAAAATGCAATAAATTAAGGGAACAATATGTAATATATTCTCAAAGTGCACAATTATTCTTCCCTCCACTCTGTAAGTATATTTCTACTAATATCTACATTTCGAATTTCAGGAGAAATTAATCTTTTGACAATAGGAAACAAAATAGACTTGCAGAATTCCATTTGTGTAACTCCAACTGGATGCTTAATACTCTCTTTGCTAACAGATGATTACCAAGCACTTGGTTTAGAAGGGAGTCCTTCTGCCTTTGGTCACAAGCCTCATACACGTTACAGTAAGTTCTAATAATAATACAATAAAATAATAAATGTAGTATTAACAATTAATTTAATTTTATACTTATGTAATACACTATGATATATATTTACACATGATATATATATTTATAGTCTATTTTAATCAAACGTATCATACATCTTTTTATATGAATTTTAACGTTTTTTTTTTTTTTCAATTAAAAGTAGTGAAGATCGATCTAACAAACGAAAATTTTGTTCCTGGTAAAAAGATTTATGAAAGAATTCGAGTAGCGTTAGAAGAACGACTTACCCAGAAGTTTGATGTTATAATATCTTGGGATCCACCAGGTACACATACTTCTGCCTTTCTTATAGTATGCTCAATATAGTATTTGTCAGGGTTGCGTAGTAACTATAGTTACTACCCAAGAAGTTAAAAGTTAAATAATAAAGTTAAATAGTTAATAACTTTTAACTTAGTTACTTTTAAACGCGTTAACTATTAACTTCAACTAGTTATTTTTAAATATATAATATAAACTTTAACTTATTAACTTTTTTCTATGTTAAAAATTTACCTATTTAAAAGAAAAACATTTTTGTATAAAGAAAATATTTTGTTATTATTTTGTATAAACTTAATTTACAAATAAAATATTAAATTGATTTGATATTGTAATTTTTTTTATTTAGAGTAATTTTATTTTTAAAAATAACTACATTTTAATTTAATATAAATGATATTTTTCAAAATTAACTTTTAATTTAACTTATTAGTTAATTTAATCTTAACAAGTTTTAACTAAGTTTTTCGTTCATGCAACTTTAACTTAAATAAATTAATTTTGTAAATTATTAACTTTAACTTAATTTAGTTAAAAAATATATTATATTAACTTACCCAACCCTGGTATTTGTATACATACATTTGTTTTCTCACATAATTATTTGAATATTTCAGAAATCAACGTGTGCCCTTCGTCTGTAGCAGCATGGTTTCACGCACGCGATTATAATGTTTATCTTTGTCGCCAGAAATTTTCCCAAAGGACTAAGTATTCATTAACAGTACCTACTTACGAGGACAGATGTGACAAGACCGATGTCGATTTCTTTGAATGGCTCGGAGTCTTCAGCATTAATGGTGATCTGTACGTTCATTCGTATTTCAAAATAACTTTACGGTGATCAACAAGGCCGTAGAAATATGACAATGACAACTAACATTTTTTTTAACATTAGATCTACCAAGGGAAAGGATGATTATTCAAACACATATCGGTCCCCTTCTCCTTCGATACATGTTGGACAGGTGCAGTATTTACAGTGGACTGGATTCTTTACACGACGGAAGATTCAAGAAGCGTATAATGCTTTAAAACAATATGTATTATCGCGAGACACTTTACCATGGGTTAGTTTAGACGTACAAGGATTTGCAGATAGTCCTACTAGTTTTGATTTGAAAGAGCACACATTTTTCACCGATGGAGATAATAGTTACACTATTGTATTTCGATCTAAAAATGACGTTGTCATACGAAGAAATTTAAGTTCTAACAATAAAGTACGTTAAATTTTTTGTTAATATATACGTGTTTTACATCTATTGTGTTTTAAATCTATTTTTTTATTAAATCATGATACTGTAACTCTGTGATAAAAATTTGTATTTTGTATAAAATACTCCTGATAAAAATTTTGTCTTAAAATCTTCATATAATTTTTCAGAATTTTTTAAGTAATAATTTTATAACTTTTTAAGAAACTTTGAGAAAATTTCTTTAATTTTTTTTTTTATATAAGGAAATAATGTGTGAAAATTTCTATTGAATATAAAAAAAGAAATGCTTTAAGTTTTGGGAACCTAATTCAGTTAAGTCAAGATTATTTAAAACCGTGAAAAAAAAGATTTGAAAAGATTACATTACTACGCCAATTACGATGGAATGAACAAGTGAACAGAGATCGGACTAGATTAGAGTATCTGAAAGATATTTCATCATATGCATTGAATAAATTCCAAGAAAAAGAAGCGTTTATTTATGATATTAATATTGCTAGTATTTCCTCTCTGACAAGTCAAAGGATTTATAATAAAAAAAACTCTAAAATCAAAAGAATATCTGGAAGCAGAAGATAATATTAAATTTATCGAAAATGTTAAACATTAATTCCCTGGCGAAAATAAAGCGTAAGAACAAAAAGAAGCATAAATTAAACGAAAAGGCAGTGACAGCAAACGTAGCGCAAGCAAACGTTCTAGGTAGTGTAGTTGAAACAGCAATCGAAATGTGCATAAAGCGTTTACGAAACATTTTAATTTTACATTCCATTATTTCAATCTACACTCCCTAGAATATATTTGCTTACACTTCTATTACTCTGCATTTACTATTTGACTTACGCTACAATTTTTATTTTTGCCAGGGTTACACGTTATGGATTTAAAAATATATATAACTCAGGTCAAAACAGATTCCAATTAGAACTTCATGCTGGTCGTTCATTGGCAGTTCAAAATACAAAAAAGACAGACTGCACAATATATAATTAGTATCGGCAATTATAAATAATTATATTATACAACTAACAATTTTTATTGATAGTAAATTATTAGCGCCTCTTTTCATTATTAAAAAAAAATATTTTAAAAAGAATCCACTGAATCACTCGGTTTGCCAGCACAAGAAACAAGTTAAAGGAAATATTTACGTTATGGCTTAAAAATCGACATTACATTATTTGAAATATATAGTTAAGAGAAGTTTTTTCTAAGGTTTTAAATCAATTTCATTGGATTCTAGGACTGATCATTGCCCTAATTGCAAGAATTAATAGACCAGAATCTGCAAAAGAAATATTGTGTTTCTAACTTTCAACAGAAACAATGATCAGAGATCATTATTAGTCCATGTGTATGCTTTCGTTCATGGAAAAAGATTATAAAATATTTTTCAGATATTTCTAGATTTAATTTTTATTGCCAAGATTTAGAAATTTTGATCTCTAAATATGCATAATATAAAAATGATTATATAGAAATTAGGTCAGAAGAATGAAACACCTGTAAATTTTTATTTCAAAAAACATTCAAAAACAATCTTGATATTTGTGTATAGCTATGTAATTAGTTGCGCATGATGTAAGAAATCTTTTTGTATACAATATTTCTTTCATGATCATCTTTATTATCAGTTTGACCCATAAGTATTAATTATAATATATTTACAATATTTTTATTCATGTAATGTTATTGTATTACTGCATTATTACACAATTATATTATTACATAATTTCTTACAACTAATAAAGAGCTTTGACATAATATGTATTTATCATTTAATTATATGAATATTAAATATTTATTTTCTCTTTTTTCCTTCTTTTGTTGTACTTGCATACTGACGACTTGAATGTTTTAGAAGATTATAAAATTTTCATACATATTGCCTTTTTTATTTCATTCTTTGCATAAAAGTTTGTAATTATAAGGTTATCCATTTTTTCGAATATTTTCTTCTAACTTATGGAGGTTCTCTTTCTATTTCACGAAACATTTGTATTATATAAATGCTCCTTTACTATAATAATAATAGTGCTGCGTGAAGATGAAGCGCATAAATCGAGCGCATAAATGAATACAGATAGTACGCATATAGAGACGTTTATAATTATTTCTCAAAAATATTTTGGAAAATAACTTTATCATATGTGATTGAATTTGTACATATTAAAATAACTGTTAATCATAAAAATATTTCAAAATTTAAAAAAGAAGTTAAGTGGTAAGGGAATAACAAATATTTTCTTTTAATACTCTGTCACTATTATATACCTAGTACTCTTTAAACCGTATAACTTTTTTAAGAATATTTTTTATCTCTCATAGTTTCAATAATTCAATTATACGCTTTGAAAGAAAAAACCAATTTTCTTTTAAGGGATGTTTCACTCTCTAAAACTGTATATAAGCAGGTATAAAAAAATACATGTCTCTTATTTTTGTCTAGAATACAACATATTAAATGCCTATTGAAATCGAACGAGAACACATCTTTGTGTTTCTTTATAAAAGATTTCTCATTCTATAATTTCTGAAGAAAACATAAAATTTAAAGAAGTTTAAGATATTTTTTTTAGAAATCTTCATAAAAATTGAAAATATAAATTTTTAAAAATATTATGTATTATGAGAATTGTTCTAAATTCTTTTTCACCAAGATGATCGGAAATCAAAATCAAGCAGAACAAATATTTAATTTCATGTTGAATAAGGAATCGGATTGTAAGGAAAATCTTTTCAAGTAAATCATTACACACTAATAATCTATGAGATTCAATCATAATTTATTTTATCACGTAGAGGATAATTGGTAGCTATAAGTCATGCATTTTATTGATATAATAAAATACTATCTTAATATAATATTAATATAAATATGATAAGTTAATAATAAAGAGACAAGAGATGCAATGAAAAATGAAAGACAAATAGATGTACACACATTTAATTATACTCTAAAGAAAGAAAAACAAATATATGGCTATACTTATTGCATGAGATACCATATGCATTGAATATAAGAAAAAGTTTCTCTTTCAAAATATTATAGTTTCATCTTTACGTTGCTCTTAATTGTTCGGCATTTTCATACACCACTTGTCTTTTTATTAACTGATATTAACAATATAAATACTACAAGAGACCTCTGAGCTATGATAAATACTAATTTTACATTCAACCACATATACATTATACACTATTTTGACTATCTGAAGTCTATCACAAGATAAAAGAAATATGGACATAATACTATATTTTGCAACATAACAGAATTATATGCATCAGTGTAAAGCTGACGCTTATAAATAAATAAATAAATATTTAAAAAATAATACATAAAAAAGATACTAAAAGATACTAAAATATTTGACTGTGTGAGATTAAAGCCTATACTTATATATAATAAAAGTCTATAATATATATAATAAAATCTTCAATTTAAGCAGACATGTCTTTGTAAATGGTAGCAAATGTTTTTTTTTACATTGAATATATATGATGTCAAGATAACGCAAAATATCCTAGGCATCTTTGAAAAGTTAAGTCACGTATCAATATCAGAACGTTTGGATTAATCTTCAGATTAATACGTGGGAATTATCCGAATCATTGAATTTCACTCTAGAATTATAGTACAAATCCTCTATACCTGAAGCAACGGACATACGAGACTTAGAACGCGCCACGAGTTCGCCTAGTTCGTCGAGATCTCGATACCTAAAATATGTATAAATAATTAGTTTTTCGTGTAATCACAGTTCATTTATATAAGATTAATGCTGCACTGTCGCATCAAATATATAACGTATCATTGGATATGTACCTGCTGACAGGTCGACTGGGGTTTTCAGATGATTCCGATGAATTTTTCATAGTTGAAAATCCGTCATCCGCATTAAATAATGCTGCGTTACCTATGCGAGAATGATCTATTATAAAGAAAGTGCTAAATAATTTCGTAAAAAAAGAAAATAATAAAAATATTACCAGAGGGAAATAATATAGTATGTTTTAATAGGTCACCACTGATAAATGGAGACAGACTGTCATCATCGTCATCCGGTAATACATGATTGATCGAATCTGATCCGATAGACTCAACCATTTCCAGCCATTGTTGATTATGTGAACGGAATTTTTCCACCTTTATGCGGGCCGCCCAATTCTTGTCGCATATCTAGAATAAATTTGAACATTTGGTACTTCTTGATGATGTTACACACAAATTGTTTTCATAGCGTATTATTTAACATGATATTTATGAAAACGAGAAAGCAAATTTGCGTGTGTTCTATCACTTACGGCAATAACATCTAAGCATGTATCACAGACTTTTCTGATTGCAGGATTTTTGTCGTGCATTAGATCGATTAGATATCCTGGAGCTTCTACAAATAATATCATAATTTTATCACAATTTATTCGTGTTTAAAGATATTTATAACATAAATTTGCAGTATTTTTTTGTGCATCTTTAACAGATCCAACGACTGAGAAAATTGATTATATATTACCATTACCGGTCTCGCGAATCAAATAATCTCGGGTTGAATCATGCTTTGCAATTTGATAAAAAACATAAATAATTTGCAAAACCATTTCATCATCCTCCTGTTTGGCTGTAATGATTTTACATATTGAAAATAGTGCTTGTCTCCCATATATATAAAAATATATTTTAAAAGTATAATATTTTGTGCACATTTGTTTTAAAACACGCATACCTTTAAGCAGTTCGATAAGAGAGAGAAGTATATCAGCCTTACATAACAAACGAGCACAATCTTCGTCGTAAGCTGCAGTGCCCAGAAATATGACAATCTCAAGAACTATATCGTCTTGTGCTTTACCTGCAGATATAAGAAACGATGTAATAAAATGATTCTAGAATAGATTTAATATTATCTCTCTTATAAATATATTTAATATTATCTCAACTCTATTTATTAATATTAAATACATAGACTAACGTGAGATAAAAGAAAAAAGGAACCAGATTACCTGGAACCAGATTATTGCGTATCCATGGTATAAGATTGCAGCGTTGAATGATTTGAGAATAATCCAAATCAGGCAATTCTAAATTGCCTAACACGCCAATCACTTCTAGTACAAAGTCTTGAGAATCAGATTGAGTCAAGGCCATTGCAAAATCACCCACAAATTCCTATTAAATATATATATATACAAATATATACAATGTCAACAAAAATTATAATACATATGATATTTGGCATATTAATCTTAATTTTAACGTTAACGTTAACGTTTCAACTCACGACAAAGTTTTCCTTCGTCGACTCATGTTGGGAGATGTTTCTAATCATCTTCATTACGAGAGCATCTTGATTTCTAAATGCAATTTTTATGAGACCTTGCAAGCGATTGTTTTCCACCATCAGCTGGGCATTCTTATTGTTAATAGCTAAATTTATGCCGAGTGCTATTAATTCAGATCTTACATGTTCATCCTCAGAATTTAGTATCATGTTTGTTACCTAAAGAGAATGTACACATGTTATGAAATGAATTTCAAGCTGGTTAAATTTATTTAAAAATTTCAAACATTTTTGCATACCATTGGAATGCAATCTGTATTTGTAAACATTGCTTTCACTTTGTCATCCATACTGGCATGATAAAGTAGTCCCACAATTGTGTTCTTATTTTTGATGTCAGCTGTAAACATAATATTGACGAAATGAAATATACTGAATAGATATTATGATAAAATTTTCATATACATATTTTTAAAAACAAAATCACACACTTTTTTAGCATCTTTTTTGAAATTACTTTTTTTTTTTTTTTTTTTTTTTAACACAAATCTTACCTTGGCTAAGCAACTTTATCCATTTTGGTAACATACCAACTCTAATCATTCTTGCTCTCAATTTAGCATCAAAAGAAAGATTGAACAACAATTTTAAAGTGCTTAGTACAAGATCAGCATTATTATTTTGTAAAAGCCTTGGTAATTTGTCTACAATATTTTCTTCTGCCTGTAAATGTCAATTTAAATTTACACTATATATAATACTCTTTCTATTATATTCATGTAAAATATTACTTAATATTACCATAAGATCTTTGTTTTCGCGAAAGATGGATAATTTCTTCAAAAATGTGACAACAAGAATCAACAAGTCTATATTTGTCCTATCTAGTGTTTTAATCAACATGCCGATGACATTCTTTTTACGCATTTTCCTTTCGACTTCCATAGCGTTCTCGGCAATATTTAAGAGTAGATAAAACGCAACTCGCAGCAATTGCTCCTGCTTCTTAGTCAAGCTCTTAAACTTCTTGCGACTTTTTTCAAGTTCCTCTTTCAACTTTTTAATATCACTCTCAGATATGGTTACAGATACTTCTGCAGATCGTCTCTTGACTTCATAATCCAACGGACCATCCATATTCCAAATGTCATCGATGATTCTAATTTTTCTATCACAATTGTCATTATTGCCCGCTGGGAAAAACGTTAAACCAGTGGTGTTCTCAAACTGTTTTCGACGTTTCTCCATGTCCTCCTTCCATTGGTCGTAGCGACGTAATTCAAAATCAATTATATCCATGCAAAGGGAACCAATCTGTACATAAAGAAAGATATGTGAATATGTATATAATTAGTTTCACAAGAAGTTAGAATTTTCAAGTTTCATCAGCGTTCGCAACTTACTCTGTATTCAAGTACAATGTTATGAAACTGGCTGTACGTTGAGAAGCAAAAGAAAATATAAATGATGTTCGTGGACAATTCTATGCTGCGCCGCCAATCTTCTCTCAGGACTCGAGCTAATGCACTTAGTAAGGATTCTATATGAAGAAAGAAATAATCTCATTATAATATAGCTAATAGAATTTTCAATAATACAAAATCTTCTCATCATTATGAAATTAAAATTATCGTTCAGAATTATTATTTATAGAAATATATAACACAATTACCGTTTTTTGTCAATTCCAAAAGATTGTCAGGTATCCTTGCTAATTGTAAAATTAACGATGAACCTTTAATCTTTCCTGGTATTTCCTCGTACAATAATTCGATATAATTATCAACGTTACTAATGACTGCCCGTTCAACTTCGCTGTTCTCCGTGATCACTGAATTGATCGACGATGCCGGTCTTGGCGGTTGAGAGTTACTGTCGCTACCTATAAAAATTATAAATTTAATAAACTTCTAGCTTCTAAATAAAAACAGTAAACATAAAAATATAGTAGTAAATGGAAATGAATCGATATATAAAATATACAATATAATTAAGCGAAAAAAAACTTCCTAGATAGCACGCACATTCAAAATCAAGATATAAAACGCCTGAAGGATGTCTTAAAGATGTTTTAGGGCCAATTTCATCATCTGAGTTTAACTTAACTGGTTGATTATTTCATTGGAATTGACCAATTGCATTTGTCATAAGCAGAACTGATCAGAATTGCTCAATCATAGATGATACCTAGTTGGTCAGTTAAGTTAATCAAAGATGGTAAAATTATTAGCCCTTAATGTCTTTAAGATGTCCCGATTTTAGACATGATGCTGTTCTGGGTGTATTCGGTCAAAGCGAATCTTGATGCTTAATAATACTTCTGTACAATATATAAATTTTAAATACATTTTTCAATTCTATAAACTGATGACGTGCATGCTGATTATATAAAAATTTCACATTACCTGCGTTGATATCATTGGTCCGACGATTTTGTAAGTAATAAATCAATTGCTCAACCTCGCGTAGTTTGGATTCGTGTATCAATGAACATTTTTCCATTACCTCCTTGGCCAGGAGAGAAACATTTGTGTCTGCGTTCAAGCTCTTCAATCTGATTATTTTTTGACATTCCTGTACATGAGGATAAATGTACGATATAGCTTAGGGCTTATAAGTCAATTATATTTCTTTATAGTTGGAAAATTTGTGTTAAATTTAACACATTTTACATGTCCGCTCAAATTTTTGTGTTAATTTAACGCAAAATGAATATATTAAAAAGTAATACAAGCATTTTACATTTTATATTTTTTTATGTAAAATTTAACATAAAAAATGTAACATTTTGATATAATTTGGAAATAAATTATAGAAACATACTTCTTCAGTAAAATTAACACTTATATGTAAAATTAACATGTACATTTTTCATTCATTTATCTTGGAATTTTTTAACTACTTTTATGTTATTTATTTACTTACTCTACTATAAATCTACTAGCTGTTATTTTAACATTAAGAAATATATGTAAAATAACAATACAGTAACGCAAAATTTTCAAATTAACATAATCAAACATTATATTAAATTAACACTCGGATATATTAAAAATTCAACATAAAAATTTTACAAACATTTGAGTGGGCCATTTCTAATAAAAATACAAAGTATTATCTACTATGTACGTAAGAAAACGTGCCTTGCGATCACCGAGCATAGGATCTCCCAGTTCTCCCAATATCAGTGCTTCAACGTCGTAGTTTACCACCAGAGCCTTCTCCGTTGGGTGGACATCCAATGTCCCGGATCTCACCTTCCTAAATGACGGTATGAGAATTGTACAAATTTACTGCATTATACAGGTATATAATTTATTTCTACAAAACATTTACTACGACATTCGTGAAACTCCATACTGCGAACGTTTTAAGAGTTTTGCGATATACTCGTGCGAGAATCACACATAGGTGTTTGACAGACGACTGACAGTCGTTTGACAGATGCAGAAGCGACGGCCTCATTCTCACCTTTTCAGAAATTTAGCTTCATCCATTTTACCGCTAGTTATTTCGCTGAACTCCCTTGACTAGAATACCTTCTCCACGCCGTTTACGTACAATTCGCGAATTTTTTTCTGTCAATTTATTTGCAATTACTCCATCTCCATGGAGAGAAGAGAAGACCTGTCAGATATATATCATCAGCACACCCACATTCCACAGACTACGGCTGCGTCGCGAGCGACGTGAAAGTAGCGGTAGAACTTAAGTTCCGTTCATATGCTTCTTTCTCACACGTCTTAAAGGCTTGTGTCCACGATACTAGAAATCGATCAAAGTTCTCGGATCGAGAACTGTATAGCCAATAAAATTACTATTTTTCCGTAAAAGCTGCAAGTTGATTGGCTACACAGTTCTCGGTCCAAGAACTTGGACCGATTTCTAGTATCATGGACACAAGGCTTTAAAAGTCCTCATATTGTAAATTTAATCGATTTGATCAAAATTATTGGTATAAATGATATATAATATGAACTTAAGCCAGAAAGAAACCCTATATTAAACTAATATGAAAAAGATAAGCGGCAGATCGATGTTTGATTGAGCGCTCATGGAGCTCTTGCATCTATTTGGTCTATATTTTTAGATCTAGAGGAATATACGAATCAGATACAAAAGCTCACTGCAGCTCACTGAGTGGGCTCAGTGAATAACAAGGATAAAATGATATACCGTGAATTCCTGAATGCTCGCCTGTTTGCAAGTGAGCAACTTTAGTAAAATCGCTAAAAATTCTTCAGATATTTATTTTCCTAATTTCTAAACATATCCTTTTACAAAAATGAATTTTCTACAAATTTTTTTCTTCATTTATAATATATAATACTGTATATGGGAATAGAAAAAAGCAAGGAAATTAAATTAATATCTTTTTTCTTAATAAGTGCAATGCTGAATCAATAGAATAAATTAAAATTAGCAATAAATTAGAAAGCAGCAATTTTATTTTTCGTGTTCCTATAATATATACTACCGACGAGATACTGCGTTGAAGACTTTGAATATATATAGACATGGAGGTGGAATGTTGGCTCAAAAACTGTGTCCAAGATGTGTGCGAGAGAGAAAGGTAGACGAGTAATATTCGTCCTTTCTGCGCATGCGTCGATCATTCGACAGACAAAGAGGACGAAGTATCACGTGGGCTGTGTTCCGCAAAGCGCATCATGCGCATGATATATTATGGTGTCCTTGTTGTTCATCAAATGTTAAACAAAGATAAAAAGATAAATCTTGCGCATGATGCGCTTTGCGGAACGCAGCCGTGGTATCGCACGAATACCTTTCTCTCTCGCACTCCTTACCACTCTTGGACTCACTTGTGGCCTACAAAGAACAAAGGCATTCCACCTCCATGTACTATACTAAAAGTGAATATACTTGAAGACCATCAGCCCTGGACAAATTTTTGTGAGGGCCCGGAGGTATATATAAATTGCAGCGAGTGTCGATGTTATCAACTTTTGACATAAATTTTGCGATTTATTTGAATAAATACATTATTAAAATCATGGATTTTTATTATATAAATGCTTTATAAATAAATATGAATATTTATAATGCTATATAATATATATATCATATATACAAAATTACATTTTTCTTCGAGCTGTTTTATCATCTCTCTGGATCTCAATAATCAAACACGGATGGTAACTATAAAAATGCAGTTTTAAATAAAATTAACTATATTATAGCAATTATTAAAATCATTGATCTAATATAATGAATCATAAAATTAATATTATATTATTGATTAATTGCTTAATTTTTAGCAATTACTAAACTACGCTAT